GAAGGTGGTGTGGTGGTGGTGGTATGGGCTTGGTAGGAGATTACAACTTGGCCAGCGGGAGCAGGGTTCGAGCTGGAGCTGAGGCTGGCTTTGGGCGGCGGGGCCGGGAGTCAGGGAGAGGAAGGTGTGCTGGTGAGGCGGGCGGGCAGGAAAGCAAGCTAGAAGGCAAGCGAGCTGGCGGGAGAGATGGAGAGGGACGGGGAGGCGGGCTGCATGTGCGGGAGGAGGCTAGGGGTTGGGGGTGGGGGTTCGAAGACCGCTCGACCTGACCCGAGTCTCATTTTGCTGATACGCAGCACGTCCTGGGCGCTTGGGTGTTCGGGCTTTGGCTGGTGCACATGACCCTCGGCTCACGTGCTGGGGGCTCTCGCGCCGCCCAGATACCTTTCTCCTCCGCTTTTTGCAGGCTTCCCCCCACGCCCCCTTATTCTCCCTTATCTTCATCTCCTATCCCACCCCAAGCCCAGGCCGGATCACTTTTCCCGAGTGCTTGCACTCTGCGCCCTGGAAGCAGGAACAGGAGGTGGGGGGGTGCAGATTGAAGGGGGAAAAGGATCCACGGTGTTTGGGGTGGGCGGCACTGCCCAGGTGAGCGGACGACCGGCTGGCTAGCCTCTGGCGGGTGCTGACGCCCCTGGGGAGGGGCTGCGGCCCAGGCGTGGGGGCGGCGATGTCCTGGGGTGGCGCGCGCTGTCCCCCGCCCCCTGCCCCCGGCAGCCGCGTGAGGGCCGGGCGGGCGCGAGGAGGAGATAGGCTGGGAGTGCAGTGGAAATGTACCCGCGGCGGCGGCGGCGGCGGCGGCGGCGGGCGTGCGCAGCAGAGGGGACTGACTGTAGGGGGCGTGGCTGTTTACCTTCCTGCTAACTCACCGTTCGCATCCCGCTTCTCCGGGGGCGTCTCCCCCTACCCCATTCCTCTACCTACTGCATGCTCTCCAGGTTCCCACCTCCTAGGGAGGATGGGGTGGCCGAGGCACGGCCTGGGACGCAAAGACTTCCCTTCCCTTTACTTCCTCCCCTCCCCCCCAAAAAAAGAAGGAAGGAGATTACAGGGAGCTGGGATCCTGGGGAAATCCCACCTGATTTAAACCCAATCCCACACCCACCCCGCTGCGGCAATGTCACGGAGCAGCTCCCCCATCTTCATCCTTCTCTAGCCTAGTCTTCTTGCAGTTGCGTCTTTTAGACTTCACCTCTCCTTCCATTCCATTCCTTTCCTTCTTCCATTCCCACCCTTCCTCCTTTCCTCCCTCCTTCCATCCTTTCCTTCCTTCCTCCCTTCCTTCCTCCCTCCCTCCCTTCCTCCCTCCCTCCCTCCCTCCCACGCGCAAAAGCTTTCTCTCCCTCTTTCCTCACAGGCTGGTGGTCTTACCCAGTGCCTCCAGGTCTGTTCTCGCCCTCCCCAAATGCATCTCTGTCCTCTCAGCCACCCCCGGTCATCCTCCCCGATGCCACAGGATTGGTGCTTGTGGCAAGTGGGGCCATTGCTATTGCTGTCTTCACAAGCAAGGAGCCAATATCGTGTCTTGTTTTATGTCTCCTCACCTTCCCCCAACCCCTCTCCCCAAGCAGTCTGCTCACCGAGGGAAGGGGATGTCTGTGAGACAGGAAGAAACAGTCCTGTGAAACATGCCTTCTAGGGTTCATTGCCTCCCACTCGTCCTGGAGACATCCCTTCTCTCCTCCAGCCTGTCACTCTGGGGTCTCTCCAGGATAATCATAGCGCACAAACTCTCTTCCTCTGATTGCCCCTTTGTGAGACACCCCCCCCATTCTGCCTATCACTAGGCTGAGGTGTGTGTTATGCTTGTCCACCCCCTCCTCCCCTCCCTGGCACAGCCTTCTGCCCCTCTCTCTCTGATCAGGTTGACTCCCTGAGGCTTGTTCTCTCCGTTTTTGACCACCAAGACCCACCTTCCCTCCACAGCCCTCTTTGCCTTCTCTCCTCTTCTTTCCTACTGAACTCCCTTCTTGCACAGACCCGCCTCCTGACTCCTGTGGGCTGAATCATGACAGCTTGTTCTCCCATTCCCTTCCTCTAGGGGCAAGCTGGAGGCACCATAGATGCAGCTTGTGCACTTTTTAAAAGATTGGCAAAGGGCCCCATGCCCCGGTGCATGTGTTTCTGTAACGCTTGCTGGTTCATGAGGGACTGAGAAGCCTGTTTCAGACTTTTAAGGCGGAAGAAAAGGGAATGACCTATTGTAGCCCAATTCTCCCTCATCCAGCTTTATTCTCTAGCGAAAAACCAAAACAGAACAAAAAACCCGGTTCTGATTGAGTTTGGAGACTGGGTCTTGCACTCCTTTGGGCTTTTATCTGGGCTCTTAGTTGAGGAGAAACTTCCTACTCTTTCTAGATAGGAAATTTACCTTCTTGAAGCTAGAACTTTTGAGAAATTTGGGGGAAGAGAAATACTTGTCAGGAATCCAGTGTTTGCTGATTAAGGGATCCTCCCCCATCCCTGTTCCTGGGGGGCACTCACAAGACCGATGGCCCTGAACAGATAGGTAAATGGGGGCCTACCCAGCACAAAGTTGGCCCAGATCCTCTCTGCTGGCACGTGAGCCAGCTCCTTTGAAAGTGAGAGACTATTTCCCAGGATCTGACTGGAGTTCAGCCTCAGGCTGCAGTAAACTTGCTAGAGAAAGAAGGAGCCATATTTTTGTTAAATAGTGATATTACTGTTCACAGCTGGGGTTCAGTTTCCCTTTCTCTGAAGCTGTTTTCAGTTTAATGTTTGAAAACTGGAGTCTGACAGGTAAGTCCTGGGTAAATAGCCACAGGCAAGGCAGTGAGATTGAACCCCACCCCCCACCTCCCACCCAGGCTGGTAATATTCCCAGTAGGACAGTTGGCTGAGGTTCTCAGGTGTAAGAACTGCCAATTTGACCTGTTTAGTTTGTTCCAAAGATACTTAGGGTACAGAAGTTTCCTCCACCTTGGCCTTAGTTAGCATTCAGGTATGGTGCATAGCCTGGGTTATAACATCTCAGGTTTGGGTCTGTGGGAAAGCAAAATAGCTCAGAATAAAATAAATAAATAATAACAAGGGAAATCAATGAGTAATAAAACCCTGTCTGGGTAAAGATGAGAAGGATAGAAATATGTAAGTGCTACTATTTAGGTTAAAGGCAGCAAAAAGAGGCTTTGAGGTCAGTATGTAAGTACACTAACAGACCCAGAGTGGAAGGACCATCTAGTCCAATTAATACCAATCAATAAATCAGTCAACATTTATTAAGCTCCTGTAATGTTCCAGGTACTATACTAAGCACTGAGGATCCCCTCCCCCCCAAAAAAGAATTCCTCTTTAACATAGTCAACAAGTGATCATCCAGTCTTTGCCTGAAGACCTCCAGGGAGGGGCAAGCCCTCTTCTTCTTGAGGCGGCCCATTTCACATTTGTTAGAAAGGTCTTCCTAATATGAAGCCCAGATTTCCCTCTTTTAACCTTCTTTCCATTACTCCTAGTTCTGCCCTCTGATTGAAGGCAGACTGCACAAGACTAATCCTGAATGCTCTTTCCACCCCTTCATTTTCCCGAGGAAGAAAATGGGGGCAAGAGAAGGGAAGGAATATGATCAAGGTCATACGTACAGCTAGTGATAGAACCAACTCAACTTATTAAGATAGTTTGCATTTAAAAGAAAAACATTTTTTGTTTTGTTTTACTTGGGTTAATTTTGGGTATTTCAGTTGCTCCAATTGTTAACTGTTGTTTTGAGTTTCAACTGCAAATGTCTCCAAAAGGGAAGCACTTGTTTTGGTCCCTGAGACATGCAATAATAAATGTTTGTTTTGAGGGTGTTTGGCTGTGGTTCCTGTTGGCACTTAGAGAGGCAAAGTAGGTGATGTTTGGGCCAAGCACAGACCAAATGTTCCCAGAATATTTTTCCCATCCCAAGAGTCTTTTGCTTTCTTAATTTTCCTAAATAAATGGACAGTAAGTAGCACAGTCACAAATTGTGCACAATAACAGAAGCACAAATTGAGCCTGAGAAAAAGCAAGGTGACATTTGCTGACTGGTGTTGGTGTCCAGTCATAACAGACCCAGACATATTCTTAAGCTCTCCCTACTTGCCATTAATTGTGCTAACATCTAGACTCATTGTATTGACTGCTCCTTCCCTGTGACTTCTAGGGTTTAGAAACTCCACTTTGTCTTCATAGCTCTTAAAATGCTATCGTTACTCTTTGGGAATCTGAATGGGACCCAGAGCCTGCAAATTGATAAGTTCCACAGGTAAAGGTTGCCTACCTTGAACTGGGCTGGAACCCATTTCCCACACAATTTTAAGGATACTTATTCCATAATCTGAGCCTTCCCAAACCAACTTATTTCCCTACAGCCACAGAAATAGCCAC